TTTTCTTGTTACTCAATATTTTTCATTGTATTCTATATTATCTTGTTTAAATAATGCTGCACTAGCTGTCTTTTGATTAATATTCACCTGGTAATTTTTAAATCCCTTTATTTTTTGACATTCTATATGGTTTACTTTTATTTATTTATTTTTACATATTCTGCTTATGTATCTATATGGTTTACTTTTATGAGTATCTAAGTTGCACATATCCAAATTTTTAAGATTCAATCTTAGTGTTTATATTCACGTAAGTAGGTTCAACCTCTCGGTATTTATTTGATTGTTCTGAAACATTTCTAACATCTTATTTTGTGTTTTCTATTTGCCACACTGTTCTTTTTCTTTTCTGTCTGGTCTCACAAAGCTGGTTTTGTTGTTATGGTTACTCTTTTGATTTGTCTCTTCATTTTTCTGCTCCTTTGAGTCTATATGGAAGAGCAAATGTGTCACACTTAAGTAAGATGTTAACTATAGGGGAAACTCTGGGGAGAAGGGGTACATGACAACTCTGTATTATCTGCTCAACTTACCTATAAACCTAAAATTGCCCTAAAAATAAAGTCTGTTAATTAAAAAAAACATATTCTATGTTTTTTGAAAGATCGTCATTATTTATACAATCAACCCTTATTTATTGAGATACTTTCGCAATTATTGTCACACGCAGGATTCTCAAATCCTGCTTCTTCCTTCTGAGTTCACTTTTGTTCTTGCCAAAGTTCATCTTTTAATAATTCCTTCATTAAGAGTCGGTACTAAGGCTTTTTATTCCTCATATACTTGAAGATGTGCTTTCTTGAGACTTCTCTCTGAACTGATAATTGTTCTGACTATTAGATTTTGTTCACACTTATTCCCCTTGTTACTTTGAAGCAACAGCTCCATTGTTGTCTGGCTTCCGTTTCCGTGGTGAAGTCTGCTGCTGGTGTGATTAATGTACCATTGTAGACATCCGTCCTTTCTTGCTAGTGGCTTCTAAGACTTTGACTTACTTATATGGCTTTGTACCTCATTCTCTCTTCCATATTTCCCAAATTCTTTTTCATTCTTCACATCTTTATTTATCTTTACATTCCGAGAAATTTCTTCTGTTCTATCTGCTAATTCATCTTCTCTTTGACTCTTTTAAAATGACTATTTAGCCCACCCATTATATTTTTTAATTTTGTGACTATATTTTATTTTCAATAATTTTTTTCACATCTTCCTCTTCTGCTTTTATAAATACTTAGTCTTGTTTTATGGATAGTAATTTCACTTTTGAGGGGTTTTTTTTTGCAGAGAGGTTGACAGTTTTAAACTTCATGTCCCCTTGTTTTTTTATTTTGGGGAGGTTGACAGTTTTAAACTTTATGCCCCTTTCAGATTATTCTGTTAGTCCTCTTTCCTTGGCTGTGAATTTTCTTATAGATTCTATTGACTATTTTTCACAATGCTAAGCTTCCTTGTATTCTTTTGGTTTGAGAGTTCATCCTCAGTGAAGGGTTTCTCCAATATTTGGCCTCACCAGTTATCTGTCCTCAAACCAAACCATCCCCTATAATCTTGCCTTTGGATTCCCACCTATTTACAGCCATGTATACTATACAAACTCAAATTCCAATCTCATGCAGAAATGTCTGTTTCGGCTACCAGGCTGGGACGGAAGTATTAGCTTGGTACAAAAGTAACTGTGGTTTTTGCAATTAAAAGTAATAGGTTGGCTGGGCATGGTGGCTCACATCTGTAATACCAGTACTTCGGGAGGCCAAGGTGGGCAGATCACTTGAGGTCAGGAGTTCAAGACCAGCCTGGCCAACATGGTGAAACCTTATCTCTTCTAAAAAAAAAAAAAAAAAAATTACCTGGTCTTGGTGGTGGGCACCTGTAATCTCAACTATTTGGGAGGTTGAGGCAGGATAATCACTGAACCCAGGAAGTGGAGGTTGTAGTGAGCCAAGATAGCACCATTGCCTTCCAACCTGAGCAACAGAATGAGACTCCATCTCAAAAATATATAGAGAGATATATATGTAAGTAATAGGCTTCCAATTATAGGTGAATTTATTTCAGTTGCCTTTGTTTTTGAGATGGAGTTTTGCTCTTGTCGCTCAGGCTGGCGTGCTATGGCACGATCTTGGCTCACTGCAACCTCCACCTCCCAGGTTCAAGCGATTCTCCTGCCTCAGCCTCTCATGTAGCTGGGATTACAGGCACGCACCACCATGCCCTGCTAATTTTGTATTTTTAGTAGAGATGGGGTTTCTCCATGTTGGTTGGGCTGGTCTTGAGCTCCTGACTTCAGATGACCTGCCCACGTTGGCCTCCTGAAGTGCTGGGATTACAGGCACGGGCCACCACACCTGGCCTCCGTTGCCTTTTAAACACAGGAGATAGTTGATATTTGAAAGCAAAGAAAATAGCACTTTGACTCCAGATTGAAAAATCTTATTTCCATTATCATCAAGTCAGGAGCACTTTTAACTCTTGATCTCATGAAGGCATTGACATTCGTTCTGCTTCCAATCCCAGCTTCCTGAGAACTCTGTGTCTTCAGGTCCTGCTGTCTCTGTAGCTTCTCGCTCTGAATGTGTCTATGGCGGCTTTTTTGCAATTGTTTTTAAGGTGGTTGTATATATTGTTTAATACTTTATCTCTCATTCCTATATATGTAGGATAGAAGATGGAGATTTCTGTATACGTTTATTCAGTCATGCTGACCCAGTAATTTTACTTCTATTCTTAAAATAAATTATTATTGAAGGAAACAGCAAAATATAATTTTATATGAACTTGAAAATAAGAAAACTCAAACTTGTTTCCGTGAACCTGAGGTTGATTCTCTGAACCTGAGGTTGGAATTTTTTTTTCAACTCTCTTTTTATGCTTCATATCTATATAAACAGTCATGAAAATAGCTGTCATAGTGAAATCTAATATTTTCAAAGTATGTGGCATCTTCAAAGCACTTACTCATAAAATTTCCGTAAGAATAAATAATTGTATTAATTCTTTATTTTTCAAATGAGGAAAGATAAATGAGCCACACGACTAGTTAAATGATCAACCCAGAACAGAATCTTACCTTTTTTTTTTTTTTTTTTTTTGAGACGGAGTTTCGCTCTTGTTACCCAGGCTGGAGTGCAATGGCGCGATCTCAGCTCACCGCAACCTCCGCCTCCTGGGTTCAGGCAATTCTCCTGCCTCAGCCTCCCGAGTAGCTGGGACTAGAGGCACGCGCCACCATGCCCAGCTAATTTTTTGTATTTTTAGTAGAGACGGGGCAGAATCTTACCTTTTATTGATGAAAGTAATATTTATGGTCATTCAAAATACAGATTTCAGAACAAGTGCTTATTTCACTACATAATTTCCATTCTTGTAAAAAATATTTATTGACAACACGCGTACTGACAAAATGGTTTAATAGTTTGAAATGAATTCACATGACATTAAATGCGATAGCATGTAAAAATATTTTTAAAATAGTAGTAAATATTGTATGTTCAGTCCTGTAAGTGATACTTGGTATGAATAAGGATTCATGAGCCTCTGCAGTAACTCCACGTCCCCATGCATGGATCCAGTCTAGTCAGTCATGAAACACCCTCAGTCTCGTAAAGTTTCATCAACAAGATGACATCATGAAATTCGACCTGAACTTCTCAAAGAATTAGCATATTCCTGGCAAAATTTGATGATAGAGGAATTCAAAATGGATCATTTAATGAGAATATAGATAGAAAGATAGATAGATGCTAGATCCTACTGATCTTTTTATAATTCCTAAAAAGTAATCAAACCAAGATAAACTAAGTTAAGAAGGAGAAAAACGTTAGACAAAAATGGAAATCCACCATGCCTCTTCCAAGGCTGATAAATTCTCAATTCTACTGATTCCTGAAGGACGTTTGAGAAATTTTTCTTTTTTAAGAAATATGTCCCGATCTCATTACGGAAAGGGATACCTTGCTGATGAAGGCCAGCACTTCCTTTTATGAATATTAAACATGGTTTACAGACGTTTAAACATGGCTTTGCTGTCATTTCTTTTAAAGTAACAGAATAAATTTTCACGAGTAATTTGGTGATGGCAAAATATAATTACAAAGGACCAATTAAGCAAAAAATAACGTTAACTATTATTAATATTTGTTCACTTATCTTCTATTCTTATATACATTATGGTTTTCATGTCTGAGCGCATGTCATATACTCTGAACGAATGAAGAGCGGCATGCCAGGCCTGAATTAGTGAGCGTCATTCCTGTGAAGAAGTTGATAGGGGAGGGGAAGAAGGATGGTTCACTTCTAGCTTTAATACTCCTAAACAACATTTGTGTTTCATTGTAAAAGAAAAAACAAAATTCAGTGCAACCAAATAATGGAGAAGACTAAAGGGGGAAAAGCCTGTTCTCTTTTTTTTTTTTTAAAGTTTCACTCTTATTGCCCACGCTGAAGTGCAGTGGCCCCATCTCTGCTTACTGCAATCTCCACCTCCCAGGTTCAAGCAATTCTCTTGCCTCGGCCTCTTGATTAGCTGGGATTACAGGCGCCCTCCACCATGCCTGGCTAATTTTTGTATTTTTAGTAGAGACGACGTTTCACCATGTTGGTCAGGCTGGTCTCGAACTCCTGACTTTGTGACCTGCCCACCTCGGCCTCCCAAAGTCCTGGGATTACAGGTGTGAGCTACCGCACATGGCCAAGATCTGAACTCTTATGCTATCTTCTTGCTAATTTCCTGGCTTTTATTAATGTTTGAGATTCAGTATTAGGAATAATATCTCTTTACCCCTAATTTGAACTTTTTCTGGGCTTCTAGATTAATACAGCAAGAGTAGCAGACTGAACATATGTTTCTAATTTTAATCACTTGATATGGTTTGGCTGTGCCCTCCACCAAATCTCATCTTAAATTGTAGTTCCCATAATCCCCATGTGTTGTGGGAGGGACCAGGTGAAGATAATTGAATCACGGGGGCGGTTTCCCCCATCCCGTTCTCCTGATAATGAGTTCTCACGAGGTCTGATGGTTGTATAAGGAGCTTTCCTCTTCTCTGGTCGCTCATTCTTCTTCCTCCTGCCTCCAAGTAAGAAGAGCTTTTGCTCCTCCTTTGCCTTCCGCTGTGATTTGAAAGCCTCCCCAGCCTCGTGGAACTGTGAGTCAATCAAACCTCTTTTTTTATAATTTACCCAGTGTTGGGTGTGTCTATTAGCAGCTTGAGAATGGACTAATGCATATTAAAATGACAGCAGAGAGTTTTCTTAAAGTATAAAGCCGCAAGGACAAAGAGAACTGAAAGGAAAAAGTAGCAAGGAAAGGTGTAACCGACTTAGCAAAGCCAAGAAAGCTGAATCTTTTTTTTTTTTTTTTTTTTTTTTTTGAAAGCTGAATCTTACACTGGTAGTAGGGGAAGCCCAGCCACCCTGGTTTATACAGTTCAAATTGGTGGCAGTGGTGAGGAAGAGATGGGTGGCTAAAATAAGGAGAATTGGTTGAGTCCCAAGATTTAGTCCCAAGATTACTTCCCCCACCTCAACCTTGACACAGCCAATAACTGCCCTCCCCCTACCCACATTTTATTTCCTGAAGAATTTCTGGGCTGGAAGACTACAAGCATAGGTGAAGGCAGAAGTATCATACTGAAAGGAGGATTTTTAAAGAATATATATACCATCGGTTGGGTGCAGGGCTCATGCCTATAATCCCAGCAGTTTGGGAGGTCGAAGGGGGCGGATCATTTGAGATCAGGAGTTTGAGAGCAGCCTGGCCAACATGGTGAAACCCCGTCTCCACTAAAATTACAAAAATTAGCCGGGCCTGGTGGCAGGCGGCTGCAATCCCAGCTACTCGGGAGGCTGAAGTAGGAGAATCGCTTAAACCTGGGAAGCAGAGGTTGCAGTGAACCGAGATCACACCATTGCACTCCATCCCGGGCAACAGAGCAAGACTCTGACTCAAAAAAAAAAAAAAAAAAAAAGTGTAAACATGAAATGAATGAGCAAAAGTACATATGTAAGTAGACATGAAATGAATTTGCAAAATGATGAAGGTGGTAGGGGTAGGAAGACATAGGAGTGGAGCACTGCTGTTGTTTGTTGTGAAGCAACTAGTCTCATTAAACTATTGCATATATAACTTCATAAACTACAACCAACGAAACCTTTTTAAAATGTAAATAAAGATATGTATAGACTTTCCCTTTTCTAACTCTTAGAATCAGGGAGGACACGAGCAGGTTTGTTACATGGGCACACTTTGTGATGCTGAGGTTTGGTGTATAACTGAATCCATCACCAGGGCAGTGCACCTAGTACCCAATAGGTAGTTTTTCAGTCCTTGCCTCCCTCTCTCATCCCTCTAATAAACCCCAGTGTCTGTTCCCGTCTTTATAACTCTCACTTGTAAGTGAAGACATGTGGTATTTGACTTTCTGTTTCTGCGTTAGTTTGCTTAGGATAATGGCCTCCACCTGCATCCATGTTGCTGCAAAGTACATGGTCTCATTCTTTTTCATGGCTGCATAGTATTCTGTGGTGTACATGTACCATATTTTCTTGGTCCAGTCCACCATGGATGGACACCTGAGATGATTCCATGTCTTTACTATTGTGAATAGTGCTGTGATGAACACATGGGTGCATGTGTCCTTCTGATAGAATGATTTATTTTTCCTTTGCGTATATACCCAGTAATGAGACTGCTAGGTCAAATGATAGTTCAACTCTTGATTCTTTCAGAAATCTCCAAACTCCTCTCCACACTGGCTGGACTAATTTATACTCCCACCAGCAGTGAGTGTATAAGTGTCTTCTTTTCTCTACAGCCTTGCCAACGTCTGTTATTTTTTGACTTTTTAACAAGTCATTCTGACTGGCATGAGATGAAATCTCACTGGTTTTGACTCGCATTTCTCTGATGATTAGTGATGATGAGCATTTTTTGTAATGTTTGTCGGCCACGTGTATGTCTACTTTTGAGAAGTGCCTGTTTTTGTCCTTTTCCCATTTTTTAATGGTGTTATTTGTTTTACTTGTTGATTTAAGTTCCTTATAGATTCTGGACATTGGATCTTTGTTGGCTGCATAGTTTGCCAGTGTTTTCTCCCATTGTGTCAGCTGTCTGTTTACTCTGTTATAGTTTCTTTTGCTGTGCAGAGGCTTTTTAAATTACATCCCACTTGTCAATGTTTGGTTTTGTTGCAGTTGCTTTTGAGGACTTAGCCATACATTCTTTGTCAAAGCTAATATCAAGAAATTATTTCATAGATTTTCTTCTAGGGTTTTTATACTTTTGAGCCTTACTTTTTGACTTCAATCCATCTTGAGTTGATTTTTGTATATGGTAATAGGTAGGGGTCCAGTTTCATTCTTATGCATATAGATAGCCAGTTATCCCAGCACCATTTTGTGAACAGGGGGTCTTTCCCACTGCTTATTTTTGTCGACTTTTTTGAAGATCAGATGGTTGTAGGTGTGTGACCTTATCTCTGGATTCTGTATTCTGTTCCATTGGTCTATATGTTGGTTTTTGTGCCATTCATGCTGTTTGGTTGCTGTAGCATTGTAAGATAGTTTGAAATCAAGTAATGTGATGCCTCCTGCTTTGTTCCTTTTGTTCAGGAATGCTTTGGCTATCCAGGCTCTTTTTTGGTACCAAATGAATTGTAGAATCGTTTTTTCTAATTCTGTGAAAAATGATGATGATAGTGTGACATGAATTATGTTGAACCTGCAAGTTGTTTTGGGCAGCATCACCATCTTACCCACCGATTCTTCCCATCCATGAGTATGGAATATCTTTCCATGTATTTGCCTTCTCTGATTTCTTTCAGCAGCGTTTTATAGCTCTCCTTGTAGAGATCTTTTGCCTTCGTGATTGGCTGTGTTCCTAGGTATTTTTTTTTTGTGGCTATTGAAAATGGGACTGCATTCTTGATTTGGCTCTAAGCTTGAACGTTCTTGACATGTAGAAATGTTAATGATTTCTTTTTTACATTGATTTTGTATCCTGAAACTTTGCTGAAGTCGTTTATCAGTTCTAGGAGCCTTTTGGTAAAGCTGTAAGGGTTTTTTATGGATAGAATCATATTATCAGTGAAGACAGATGGTTTGACTTCTTGTTTTCTGTGTAGATGCCTTTAATTTTTTTCTCTTTCCCGACTGCTTGTTTAGGTCTCCCAGTCCTATGTTGAATAGGAGCAGCCAGAATGGGAATCCATGTCTTGTTCCAGTTCTCAAGGGGAGTGTTTCCAGCTTTTGCCCATTCAGTATAAAGGTAGGTGTGAGTTTGTCATAGATGGCTCTTATTATTTTGAGATATGTTCCTTTGTTGCCTATTTGTTGACGGTTTTTCACCATAAAAGGGTGTTGTATTATATCAAAAGCTTTTTCTGTATCTGTTGAGATGATCATATGGTAGTTTTCTTTTGTTATGATTCCGTGGCAGATCCCCTTTATTGGTTTGTGTGTGTTGAATCAAGCTTCCATCCCAGGAATGAAGCCTACTTGGTCATGGTGATTCACTTTTTGGATGTGTCACTGGATTCAGTTTTCTGGTATTTTGCTGAGGATTGTTGCATCTATGTTTATCAGGGATATTGGCCTAAAGTTTTCTTTTTTCATGTTTGTGCCAGGTGTTGGTGTCAGGAAGATGTAGCATCATATATGAATCAGGAAGATGTAGCATCATATATGAATCAGGAAGATGTAGCATCATATATGAATCAGGAAATGTGGCATCATATATGAATCAGGAAGAAATCCCTCCTCCTTGATGTTTTAGAATATTTTCAGTAGGGTTGGTACAAGGTCTTATTTGTATGTCTGGCAGAATTTGATTGTGAATCCATCTGATCCAAGGGTTTTTTTGCTGGTAGGGTTTTTTTTTAATTGCATTTTAGGTTTTGGGGTACATGTGAAGAACATGCAAGATTGTTGCATAGGTACACACGTGGCAGTGTGATTTGCTGCCTTCCTCCCCTTCACCTGTATCTGGCATTTCTCCCCATGCTATCTCTCCCCAACTCCCCACCCCCCACTGTCCCTCCCCTATTCCCCCCAACAGACCCCAGTGTGTAGTGCTCCCCTCCCTGTGTCCATGTGTTCTCATTGTTCAACACCCACCTATGAGTGAGAACATGCAGTGTTTGATTTTCTGCTCTTGTGTCAGTTTGCTGAGAATGATGGTTTCCAGGTTCATCCATGTCCCTACAAAGGACACGAACTCATCATTTTTGATGGCTGCATAATATCCCATGGTGTATATGTGCCACATTTTCCCAGTCCAGTCTATCATTGATGGGCATTTGGGTTGGTTCCAGGTCTTTGCTATTGTAAACAGTGCTGCAATGAACATTTGCTTGCATGTGACCTTATAGTAGAATGATTTATAATCCTTTGGATATATACCACTGATTCAATCTCTGGATCTGTAAGTGGTCTATTCAGGTTTTCTCTGTCTTTTTAGATCAATCTTGCGAGCTTGTGTGTTTATAGAGATGTATCCATTTCCTATAGATTTTCTAATTTCTCTGCATAAAGGCTTTCCTAATAGTCTCTGAGGGTCTTTTGTATTTCTGTGGGATCAGTTTAATGTCACCTTTGTCATTTCTGATTGTGATTATTAGCCTCTTCTCTCTTTTTTCTTATTGATCTTGTTTACTATTTCAAGGAACCAACTTTTGGTTACAGTGATCTTTTTTTCATATTAAACTTTTTATTAAAACTGAGTGCTTACAACATATATAAAATGTCATGTTCCACAGTCAAATATTTAACCAAAAATAGATATGCAATTATTGGCATACAAATTTAAGAATGTAATTAAAACCAAGCTAAATCTCTCTCTCTCTCTCCTCTCTCTCTGTGTGTGTGTGTGTGTGTGTGTGTGTGTGTGTGTGTGTGTGTGTGTATCCATACAAATAGACATATCTTCAAATTCATGTCGATGAACCGGAATACCTGAGGTTTCAAGTTGTTGGTTTTCCAGATAGTATAAAACATTTTTCATTCACTTTATAAAGGACATGGCAGATCCAGAAAGAATAACTTTGGCTGATAAATGCTGTCTAAAGATCAAACAGAAGTCCTCAGTGGGATTAAGGTTTATCTTCAGAGGCTTCTTCCAAATGGAGGTTGGTGATGTACAGAATGGTTCCCACATAGCAAGGTGCTGCTCATAATAGTGGATACTCGCCTCAGCCATGTCTGTAAATGCTAACTTGATATCATCTTGCATATTTCGCTGCCATCTTTCCCAATCTGCTTTCAGGGCATTATCAGCATGTTCCACTTTATCTTCAAGTTTTCCAATCCCCTCTGTAAGCAGATCACTAACTGCCTTTTAATAGGTCAAAGCTTCAACTTTGGAATCCAGTTCTACTTGTGTTTGGTGTTTTCTTTCATAACACCCGTTGACATTTCACTATAAAGCATGTACCATGTACAGCAGGAAGCAGAGCCTCTGAGAGTCCAGACATCCATTTTTCAGTGGCCTTACAGCATTTGTCAATAGAGCTGGTAACATCTTTTAGAGTATCAACCAGATCCTCTTCTGACACCGACCACAGAATATGAATTGGACCGTATTCTTTCATTTCATCAACATACTCCCTTTCATCCTTGTAAATTCTCTGAGGTATTTTATCTATCAAATTAGCTTTCTGGCTAAATATTTCAATGAAGTTATTCATTTCCATCAGCTTCTCTGGGCAGTTTTTTTTTTTTTTTGAGACGGAGTTTCGCTCTTGTTACCCAGGCTGGAGTGCAATGGTGTGATCTGGGCTCACCGCAACCTCCGCCTCCTGGGTTCAGGCAATTCTCCTGCCTCAGCCTCCTGAGTAGCTGGGATTACAGGCACGCGCCACCATGCCCAGCTAATTTTTTGTATTTTTAGTAGAGACGGGGTTTCACCATGTTGACCAGGATGGTCTCGATCTCTTAACCTCGTGATCCACCCGCCTCGGCCTCCCAAAGTGCCTCTGGGCAGTTTTTAATTCCTCTCATTGAGGATGCAACGGCTCTGCTTGCCCCATCCTGCTTAGCAATCCAGGACCCTGCTTCTTGCGAGAAGAGAGTTCCCAAGCTTGTGCAGTGAGAAAAACATTGAAGTCTTCATTAAATGTTAAAGTTGGATGATCAGCAGTTTGGTTCTAAAATGTATGTAAAGCCTTCCTGCGTATCTCGATGAAGTCATTAAAGCGTTGCATCATTACCTTTTCTATAAACTTTTCTGGGAATGGTGGAATAATTAGAGTAGGGTGTGCTTCTTCAAGTTTTCCCTTCAACCAAAGGAAATCTTGACACCATCTCCTAACTTCAAATCCACTGGAGTCCAATTCCCCATGAGCTGTCTTAGTAATAATTCTACACATAACGAAAGTTTCTATTGACGTAACATGACTTTCGGGTTCATCAACTGTGATGAAGAGTTCCTTTAAATCTGGTTCATCTTCAAACTTGATTCGGTTTATCATTGATAAAGGGGATGCTGGCATCATAGAGCTGAAGGAGTTCACGTCCATCATTGAGACATCATTGCTGACCACCTCCAGGTCATCCTTGTCCTCATCCAGATCCAACACCTCCGTCTGTAGCAGGGTGGAAGAGCTGCTGCTGCCTGGGAATGGGGCACCAGAGGCCCGAGGAGTGTGCCTGAGATACCCAGCGCTTGCTCTCCTGCATCGATCTTTTGTATGGATTTTCACATCTCCATGTCATTGAGTTCTCTGATTTTAGTTATTCCTTTTTTTATACTAGATTTGGGGTTGATTTGTCTTCTTTTTTTAGGTGCAATGTTAGATTGTATTTTTTTTTTTTTTTTTGAGACGGAGTTTCGCTCTTGTTACCCAGGCTGGAGTGCAATGGCGCGATCTCGGCTCACCGCAACCTCCGCCCCCTGGGTTCAGGCAATTCTCCTTCCTCAGCCTCCTGAGTAGCTGGGATTACAGGCACACGCCACCATGCCCAGCTAATTTTTTGTATTTTTAGTAGAGACGGGGTTTCACCATGTTGACCAGGATGGTCTCGATCTTTTGACCTCGTGATCTACCCGCCTCGGCCTCCCAAAGTTCTGGGATTACAGGCATGAGCCACTGCGCCCAGCCCTAGATTGTTAATTTGAGATCTTTCTAGCTTCTTGACGTAGGTGTTTGGCCCTATAAACTACTCTTAACACTGTTTTAGCTGCATCCCGACGATTTTGATATGTTGGAACTCTACTTTTATTGATTTCAAAGAATTTTTTGATTTGTGTCTCGATTTCATTGTACACCCGAAAGTGATACAGTGCCAAGTCGCTGAATATCCGTGCAATTGTGTGGGTTCGAGAGATCTTCCTGGTATTGATTTCAATTTTTATTGCCCTGTGGTCCTAAAATGTGCTTAGTATGATTTTGAAATTTTTTAATTTTTTGAGACTTGCTTTACGGTTCGGCACATGGTCAAACTTAGAATATGTTCCATGTACAGGTGAGAAAAATGTACGTTCCGTAGCTGTTGGGTGGAGTATTGTGTAGACGTCTATTAGGTCCAATTGGTCGAGTGCAGAGTTGAAGTCCAGAATTTTTTTGTAGTTTTCTGCCACGTGATTTGTCTAACACTGTCAGTAAGGTGTTGAAGTCTCCCACTATTACTGTGTGGCTCTCTAAGCCTTTTCATAGGTCAAGAACTTGTTTTAAGAATCTGGGTGCTCCATTGGTGGATACATACATATTTAGAATAATTAACTCTTCTTGTTCAGTTGGACCCTTTATTATTATGTAATGCCCTTCTTTGCCCTCTTGACTATTGTTTTTAAAGTCCGTTTCATCTGATGTAAGAATAGTGACTCCTGCTTTCTTTTGTTTTCCATTTGCCTGACAGATCTTTCTCCAGCCCTTTCCTTTGAGTCTGTGGGTACCCTTACATGTGAGGTGGGTCTCTTGAAGGTGAAAGATAATTGGATGCCACCTGACTTGCTACTCTATGCCTTTTAAGTGGGATGTTTACTCAAGGTTAATATTGATGTGTGAGATTTTGATACTGCCATCATGTTCTTAGCTGGTTGTTTCGTACACTTCACTGTGTAGTTGTTTCATAGTGTTTGTGGACTATCAGCTTAAGTGTGTTTTTCTGGTCACAGGTATTGTTCTTTTTTTTCCCATGCTTAACACGCCCTTAAAGACCTCTTGTAATCCTGGTCTAGTAATGGGACTTTATTTTCCCTTTGTTTGTGAAGCTTGGTTTGGCAGGATACAAAACTCTTGGTTGAAAATTCTTTTCTTTAAGGATTCTGAA